ACATTCACAAAAACAAAACAGGTCATCGGCAAGGAATTTAACACATGTTTAGATGGGGAGAAAATACATATATATAACTATATATACACACACACTTACATAAAAGGAGGGAATAATATATGTACACATATACTTATGTATACACACATAAATGTACACACAACACTCTTACATGTTCCCCTGGAATACTCTTTTTTGTAAGTACTTAGCTGTGGCAGCCTATCTGTTAACTAAATTAAAACACACTGTATTTAGACCATTTAGCCCATTTGCATAGTAAACATCAGCTTGGAGCTTAGCATGTATGTCAAACGTTCCATTTTATGAGTTCTTCAACAATTAACCAGTCTTCTAGTTAGGTGGATCTGGTTGAAGCCACTTACGTGTAATTGCCTTTTTGCACAAAAAGGATTTTGAATAAATATCTGACATTGTTTGGTAAATCTGGTACATCTCCAATGTATAGTGTCATCACATTTTGATTAATAGTGAAACCAGTTATTTGTCATTGTTGATCCAACATGTGTCCAAAATGTTTTCAGTTTCACACAAGACCAAAATGATGGTGAGCCTCGTTATCTCCGCAAGTCCAACATGCGAGCTTTCGGGTTTTCTCATTTGTTGTTTAGGAGTTATAAAAAAACGATTATGGTTTTCCAACTGAATTCCCGTAAGCAGAACAAGAAGTTGAATGAGCAGTTTTCACATATGTTTTCCCACTGTTCTGTTATTATCTGTTTTAATTTCTTTCTCCCAGCGTTTTTAATTACTCAGTTGAATTTCTACTACTTATTAAGCTACGGTTAGTTAGAAATAACTGATTACTCCCTTAGAGTAGTTTGCATAAGATTAAAAATCAGTGCGTTCTAGTGTTACTTACTTTTTAAATTTCCACTCATTTCGACAACTGTAACGTACTTTTCTCTGGCATCAGCCTCCGTGCACTTTACCGCTTACAGTTGGTTCAAAATTACACGTTTAACTGGAAGCAAAAACGTGAGCACATTACCCTGATTTTAGCGTCATTGCGTTGACTCACAGTTCGTTTTAGAGTTGATTTTAAGATTTTACTGTTTGTTTTTAAAGCTTTGAATGGACTGGCCTCATAGTCAAAGCCCCATCTTAAACCTCATCCAGATTTACTTACCCGTACATGGGGCCTAAGACGAGACTTAAAACCAGGAGGACAGGACCTTCTCTGTGACCGACCCTAAACTCTGGAACCCTCCACGTCCCAACAGCCCCACAGTGTTTAAAGTCTCGTCTCAAGACTCACTTTTACTCTCTGACTTTAACACTGCGTGAGTTGCGTGGGACTCTGTGTCTTTTGGTGGTTTTGCTTTTATTAGATTTTTTATCAGTTTTATTGTTCAGGACTGGTATGATCACATTTTTAGCAGTTTAACTTTTTGTTGTCTCCATTTTCTGATCTCTCTGCAGCACTTTAGAAACTGCTTTATTTGTAAAATGTGCTACAGAAATAAAGTGCATTAGGATTTAAAGTGCATATGACAGTTCAGGACTAATTTCACTAAAACATAGTTAACACAATTGTAGCTATGGTTTTACTAAAAGTTTTTATTTATTTATTTATTTATTTATTTATTTTTTACAGTCATGTGATATATGCATATTTTTGTTACTATATCTCACAAAAGTTCTTGTGAGCTTTAAGTCATGTGATAATACTGTTACCTCATCAAAAACACACCTGGAGTTGTGTTTTCATTCACATGTTTGAGTAATCCTGCATTATTAGTTTGTCTAGATCTCCAACGCTCAACATGCTCTGTTCCACCTTGTGATGTCATGAAGTGGTAGTTTTCAAGTTCACAGCTTCTTTATCTGTAGTTCAGATTGGCAGTTCCAGGACTATAATCATCCAAGTGATTCTAGTGAAGGTGTATTTAGTTTAACAACACAATAGAACACTTCCTGTATTACCACTTAATGACATCACAATTTGGTGCAGAGTGTTTTGAGTTGGAGAGAAGAACTCAGTCTAAATGTGCAGGTTTGTGAGTTAAACATGTGAATGAAACAAAACACAAGTCCAGGTCTGATTGTGATGAGGAAACTGCATTAGGACATAGATCAGAAAATAGATTAATATGTTTTTTTTTTTAAAAAGGTGCACTACATAACTTTTTCTTTTGGGGTCCGTCACCTGCTTGTTTCCATGGAAACATCATTGCTCTGCCTGGAATGTTTCACAGTGTGACATTAAACAGCTCTACTGTACATTTATTCAATTACAGGTGGTTTTGTAAATTAAAATTCCCTAGAAAAAAACAGACATTCTGACTGTGAGTGGGGTCACCTCTCCACAGATCTGACCTCTAAACTGGTCTAGTTTAGTCTCAATGAAGATAGAAAGGATTAATACCATACTGTGGAACATTCTAGACAAAGCAATTTATTTATTTATTTTGCCCATATAACATTAAAAAAAAGAAAGAAAAAAAATTATAATAATAAATAAATAAAAACAGTAGAAAAACCCAAAAGGGTGTCATATTAAAGCCTCCACCTTATGAAGACATTAAAACTTGAACATTACTGCTTTGTATAAAAAAGATTTTAAGATTAAATTCATTTGATTCAAACATGAATTAAAACACAATGAAACATCCACAGTTGAGTGATTATCAAACATCATCATGAAATATCAAACATTTCCTCTTTTTAAACAACACCTCTGATGTGCTTCACTAACCACATGTGAAAACTGCTCCACAATTTACAGCCTCTGGATCGTAAAAGAACCTGACCTCTTGATGTGACACATTTTGGAACATGAAAATTATGATTTTGAGTTTTGTATCTATGAATCTCTGCACTGTAACTGTAACAATAACATCTCCATGGAGAAAAGGATTCCCTCCACCAGAAAAGTTACACAATGCAGCTTTAGTCTGTCTCAGTTTTGTGTCTGTAAATACCCGCTTAACACCTATTCATACTTCATAAGAACATAAGAACTGTGTTCTTGTTCTTGAGGTGAGAAGAACAAGAACATGGTTAAATTGGGCTCTGACATTTCAGACTTCAAAAGATGGTCTGCTGCTGAACGGCCCCGCCCCCTCACTCCGCCCCGCCCCCTCACTCACTTTGCACTTTCTCATCCTCCAGCCTGACCTCTCCTTTTTTTTTTGGTTACCCGCCTTTTGGCCTTTGCAAACTTGGCACAGAGATTATGCCAGACCTTTCTACAATGTTTGTCGTCCAAGCCTAAAATGTCAGCAATCTCCCTCCATGAATTTCTTGCCCTTTGGCGTCTTTATTGTCACTGAGTGTCATGTTGCACAGATGTTTGTAGTTTCTCACCCTTTCTGCCAGCTGTGAAAACCGGCGAGGAAGCTGATAAACCAAGGCCACTTAAATAACCAACTGCCAAACAAAATTCTGCTCAGTTGACATGTCAAGAACAAGCCGTGAGAACTGCCCAACAGGAGCTGGAGCAACAAAACAACCTCAAAAAGAACTAAAACACGTCCTGAAAAAGGACTAAACCAGGACTAAAACAGATCTAAACCATGTATAAAACAGGACTAAACCAGAACTGAACCAGGACTGAGTGTCGGGACTCGGACTCTATCTCTCTCCCTCTCTTGACCCAAGATTAGTCCTGGTTTATTTATTTTATGCTAAATATATATATGCACGTTTTTTTTTACCCTATGCACACGCATATTTTTGAAAGTTTCATTTTTAGCCGTTGCCGCTGTCAAACTACCACGAGTCTGCACGCGACGTGCAGAGAAATAAAGTGAGAGAAAGAGAAAACACAACTCCCAGTCCCAATAAGGATCAGGCTCCCGTCGTTTGCTTCAAAGAGTCATTTCGTTCGCGACCGACCCATAACTAGTAAAGAAACTAGCGCTATTAGCCTTTAGCCGTAAATGCTGCGCGCCGCAGTAATTAATTATATGCGCAAATGTCATAATTCACATGTCTATTCACAGCTCATTTACATATCAGTGCAGGTCCAGTAACAAATATACGGCCAATATAGTCACTTTACAATAGACCAATAGAAAACAGTCTGATTTATGTGCGGGAGCTACAGCAGCTAATCGCTAACCTATCAGAACGAACCAAAAGTAGCTTCAAAGTCGACATATTTCCAACACTCAGCCTCACACAGGCTCCTCCTCACATCACAAGTCTGCACTAATAAATGTCCTTTTAATCCAGATTCAAACCGATTGTCCGTAAAAAGAAAATAATCTCAGTGTTTGGATCTGTGTCTGCAGGTGTAAACAAACACACATGAGTGACGTAACTCTGTGGTGTGTTCAGGGACAGTACGGACACAAACACAGACAAATGACTCCGCAGATAAATACTGATGCGGAGCCACATATGAGGACATTTATCTGTCTGTAAATTGGATTAAATGAACAGAATGTAGAGTCTAAACTTTATAACGAGGTATAACATGCCCACGTGAAATATCAGCCCATATCAGCAAGCATATCGGCCGATAGCCGATATGTCTCCAGTTGCTCGTATCGGCTGATAATATCGGCCAGCCGATATATCGGCTGGGCTCTAATTTGTATATTTAACTTTACACTTATATTTAGTTTGTGGGACTAGTTTATCATCCCACCTGCCTGCTCCTGCATCGTGCACACACACAGTTAAAGTTTGATAAAAGAACACAGCAGAATGTAAATGACTTATATATATATATATATATATATATATATATATATATATATATATATATATATATATATATATATATATATACATATACATGTCTTTTGCTCTGCCACAATAATGTAATAATGAATTTAAATCAAAATACCTCAAGTTGAAGCTTTTCTCAGCTATTTATAGGTGAGATTAAAAAAAGAAATTAATTAGATTAATTAATTACAGATCATAATTAATTAATCTCTCTTTTTTTTTTTATCGCTTGACAGCACTATTTATACTATATACTACTCTACTACATCCATGATAATATTTGTTGTCTATTTCTTTTCTAGCTACACATCCGCCCACATCGGAGTCACCCTCAGACGCTCGCCCTCCCTCTCCGCTCACGAACGCCGCAAAATCGTGGGAATCCTCGTGGTCATCACCATCAACTTCATCGTGGTGTTTGGGCCGTACCATCTAGTGGGGGGTTACCGGTTCGTGTCCCTCCTCTTCGCCGATGAGCCGTGCGGATTGGAGCGTTCCATTTTCTTGGTCTACCGTCTTTGCTACGGACTGACCAGTCTGAACACGTTACTGGACCCTCTGTTCTACATCTTCCTGTGCGCGGACGCCAGGCTGGAGCTGCAGAGGTCGCTGTCGAGCTTGAGAAAGAGGGCCAATACCAAGATGAAGTCCGATTCCACAGTTCAAACCATTTCGCACCAAAGAAGGGTGGGGCAGAATCTTATTCCGATATAGACGCTTGGAAATGTCAGAATGTTTGATATTTGGGATGAACTGGACTGGGTCAAAAAAAAAAAATGACAATACACGTTTGTTATTTTTATTATAAATGCACGGTTGTTATGGGTAAGCTTTGAAAAAAACATGAACTTAAAGATGCACTATGTAACTTTTTGGTTGGGGGTCCATCACCCGCTTGTTTCTATGGAGATGTCGATGCCTGAAATGTTCCACAGTGTGACATTAAAGCTGCACTATGTAACTTTTCTGCTGCAGGGTCCATCAGATGCCTCACTCCATAATCCGTGTGTCATCCATTCATCCGTTTTTCAATATAAAACCAAAAATAAGAAAACGAAAAAAAAACAAGAGTTTTCTTTTTGTCTCCAAACCCAAAATGAAAAAATAGATAATGATTCATTTTTTCAGTTTTGGTTTTTGTGTTTACGTGTTCCTGTTTACATGACTTCTGTGACTGCGATGTCGGACCTCTGCACCGCATACGGACTGAACCATGACTGGTCCAGGTCCGGGGCCAGACCGAGACCAGAGAGGGACGAGACCGGGACCAGAGTGGACTCTGAGCTTTGACTCTGAGCCTCTGCAGGGTCCAAGCCTCAGCTTTGAGCTGAGTGGGCTCTGAGCCTCCGGTCTGGTCCCAGTCTGGTCCCGGCCTGGTCTCGGTCTCAGTCCCGGTCTCAGTCTCGGTCTGGTCCCAACCTGGTCTCGGTCTCAGTCTCGGTCTGGTCCCAACCTGGTCTCGGTCTCAGTCCCGGTCTGGTCCCGGTCTGGTCTCAGTCCCGGTCTGGTCCAGGTCTCAGTTCTGATCTCAATCTCGGTCTGGTCCTGGTCTGGTCCCGGTCTCAGTCCCGGTCTGGTCCCAGACCTGGATCAGTCCTGGTTCAGTCATATGCAGTGCAAAGGTTTGGCATCACAGTCACGGAAGTCACGTAAATGGGAAACGGTCGTTATCTGTTTTTTCCATTCTTCATTTAAACACAAAATCGAAAACTGAAAAAAAAAAAAAATTTTAAATCATTATCTGTTTTTTCATTTTGGTTTTGTAGACAAATAATGAAGAAAACAGTTGTTGTTTTTTTCATTTTCTTATTTTTGGTTTTATATTGAAAAACAAATGAATGAAAGATACACGGATTCTCCATAAAGATGTTATGGCTTCTTCTGGAATGTTTCACAGTGTGGTATTAAACCTTTCTATCTCCACAGAGACCACACCAGACCAAGTTACAGGTCAGATCTGTGGAGAGGCGACCCCGCTCACAGTCAGAATGCGTTTTTTTTAAGCATTTTTGAGCTGCAAAACTATCTGTAATTTAAGAAATAGTATAGTGAACAGCCTGTAATAAACAAAGAATAAACACATAAACAGTAAACAAACAAACAATAAATATTTTTTGCCCTAGCAACATGAAATTTGGCACGGCACACACCCGCCCCATTAGGATGACACCCTTCAGATTTGAGATCATTCAGATGAGCAGGTCGAGAGTTATGTGTGGAACAGACAAACAAACAGAGACACAGAAAGACGTTCCTTGCATTAATACATAGATGTAAGGTAGAGCTGTTTAATGTCACACTGTGGAACATTCCAGGCAAAGCAATGTCACATCCACAGCAACAAGCAGGTGACAGACCCCCAACCAAAAAGTTACACCATTACGCACCTTTAAACTGCTCTACTTTATATTTATTAATTTACAGGTGATTTTATAGCTCAAAAATACCTTTAAAAAGCAGTGAGCAGGGTCGCCTCTCCACAGAGCTGACCTGGGACATGGTCTGGTTGGGTCTCCAAGGAGATAGAAAGGTTTAAGACCATACAGTGTAACATTCCAGATAAAGCAGGAAATAAATACTTCCACGGAGAAAAGCGTTTGACAGACCCTCCACCGGAAAAGTTACAATGAACCTCTAAAGCAGGGGTGTTAAACTCAGTTTGTTCCGGGGCTCGTATCCAAACTACTTTGATCCAAAGGGGCCGGATCAGAAAACTCATGTCATATAAACCCCAAAAATAACAATAAGTTCAAATGTTTGTGCAGAGAAACACAAATCTATTACAGAAATCTTTTTTAATTGATGAACTCTTTCTTTTACAAAATATTATAATATTATGAACAACCTGAAACTTTAAGACAAATACCATTTCAACACAATGTTTTAACATGAATTTGTATACAAATAGGAATAAGTCAATTTTTCTTGGAAAATCCTGCACTTTTCTCATGTTGGACATTTTCTTGATGAGAGTGTCACGGTCAACAGTCCAAACGATCGTCCTTTAAGAGCGTTTGGAAAGAGACAAGTCTTCATTTGTGCTGCTCTGGTGGGAGGGGCCACGCACAGAGACGCTGGAGACACTGATATGATAAACACCACAGAAAATGACCAATATTTTAAAAGAAAATATAATTTAAATATTTTAGTACAAAATCAGCTGCGGAGCAGATTAACGAACACCTTTAATCTGGGGCCGGATCCAGCCCCCGGGCCGTATATTTGACACCCCTGCTCTAAACTCTCTTCACACGGAATAGAAACCGAGAGCTCCTCCTTGGTTTTAAAGATCACAGCACTTACTTTTTTAATTTTAATTTTTTTTTTAACTATAGACTATGTTATGTTGTCTTGTCTTTTATTCAGGCACCTTATCTCTGCACTCAACAGTGAAGCTCATGTTTTGTTTTTTTGTAACGCTGCCTTGTCCTGATCTACTCCTCGTAAATAACAGACATGAGTTGTGTTTTCAACCCACCACATCACATTATTTCTGCAATAAACCTTCAATAATCACCTGTGAGATGTTTTTTATTAAAACTGTTAATGAAAACTAACATTTATTTATACACAATTAAATAAAAAAGTTATGTTTCAATACCAAATGAGCGTCAAAAGTTTTCTGTCTGAGAGCAACTTGTGTGTGACGACCTGGAGCCAAACGAGAGCTGCTCGTGCAGAAAGACTCCACACGCTCACAAAACTCTGACACTAGAATTAGTGAGTCTGAGTGAACAAGTTACTTATGAATGAAAGACTTTTACTTCTGTTGTTCTGTTCACATCTTCTGTCAAATAAAAGTCGACTAGAGAAGAGAAAGAAATGAGAGAAACACTCACATCTTTACATTCAATAGAGTTAAACAGAAAATAATTAACACTGATATCACAGCCACTCCGTGAATTTCCTCTTATAAAATACTGATATTTTATATATACAGCGTTTTTCTAAATAAAGTCACAACGTTTTCTACACATGGAAACAAAATACAAAACTATGTTGGGTCTGTCCAAAACAAATCAGCCTTTTAAAGGTTGTATAGAGGATTTTCCAAGGAACGAGAAATCCAGCGACTGTTTGTCCTTTTTCAAATGTTGCGCATGCGTGAAACCACCCCCCCTCCCCTACAGCTCCTACGTAGAAACGCCTCCTCCCTCCTCCTCCTTATGCCAGAAACAGGTTTGTTTACAGCCGGTGCTGCACATGACTTGTAAACAACTAACTACAGTGTTGGTTAGGCAAGACGGAGAAGTGAGGAGCGGGGGGAGGGGTGCGCGGACATTTCGTTCGCGGACGAGAAGTGAGGAGCAGGGAGAAGAGCGGAGCAGGGAGAGAGGAGAGAGGAGAGGGGAGCGGTGCGCGGAGATTCCGTGTGCGGAGAAGTGAGGAGCAGGGGAAGAGCGGAACGGGCAGCGGGGAGAGGAGCAGGAAAGGGGTGCAGAGAAGAGTGCGCGGAGATTCAGTGCGAATGAACTAGCTACAACACGCAGCAGCAAGCGGACTCTTTCTTTGCCTTGAAAATTACGTTTTCAGACATAGGATATCGCTTTCGTGTCCTGAAAAACGTTTGTCTAGCTCTTAGAAATAAAGTACGTTTTCATAATAAGCAGAAGTGACCTGTCCAGGAGTAATTTGTGGACCAGTGCGTCAGTCTTTAGACCCTGCGTCTGCTTCAGTCGCGCCATCGCTGGAATGAATCTTCAAGAATCACCTTAGTTTGGCTTCGCTGCTTTTCCCCTTGTCTTCTGTCTGTGCGTCTTGCGTCTGTGGACTGCGTGACAGTCGTACGCAAACCACGTAACGGCAGCGCGCAGGCAAGTCAGTTACGCTAGAAACGTAGGGAGTTTGATTGACAGCCTGTCAGCTAACAGATAACGAGGCAGTGTCGTTATCTATTGGCAAATGTTTAGCCCCACCACGTCCAGAGTTGATGAATTTTTATTCTCTTTTTTTTTTGGTCATCATAATTACAAGGCTACTGCACCTCTATAATGCTATCATTGACAATTTGAAACAAAAAAAATCCTCCATACAACCTTTGAGGAATCTCCCCATGAGCATCTCAGATTTGGCTGAAAAAAAACAACAACTAAAAAATCCAAAATTATCAAATGAAAGAATCTAAAGTTTTAGCTCAATCATTCCTGAGTTTTGGCCTGTTGAGATTTTGGGGCCATGGCCACTTTTTCAGAAACCTTCATTCATAATCATGTTTGAGAGACCAGAACTTCATAAAAATCGAGCTCGGAACATTTGTACATTTGTATTATTTTAGATTCTTGGTCATAGATTCTGAATCTGTTGTCAAACATTGTGTGTCTTTATTAAGGGTGTGGCTGTGGGCCCAAAATCTCACATTTGGTTGCCGCTCAGTTTTTTTGTTTGTTTGTTTGTTTTGTTTTTCAATTTTTGAGGTCCAAGATCAATTTACTCCAAGCAGATCTTTGCAAACTAAATGAACCTGAATATTTGAGAGAATGACCATTTCTGACACAAATCACACTTTTCTGAGTTTTCATGTGGATGGTGTAGAGCAGGGGTGGGCAAACTTTTTGGCTCGGGGGCCACATAGGGTCCTAAAATTTGACTGAAGGGCCGGACAGGAGACAGGACATGACATGTTAAGAGCTCGGCTCCATTGCACAATTGTATTTACACATATCGGATGCATAAGTTTCAAAATGCATGAAAAGTGAATGAGGTTTGCTTCTCTCTGCACACCACAGGCGCACACATCCTGAGCGCTTAGATCCCGTCGAGAAACAAAATCCCCTCTATGAGGTACCACGCTTCAACACTGATGTGTGCAGTACCACCAAACCCTTAAGACTTTCCATGCATTAAGATACAGAATATGATGTTGACCAGTCTGAAGTCCCTGCTTTTAACTGACTCAAAATGGAAACAGTGCAGCCTTATGTCTTGAACACTTCTACCTCACTCATGGTCAGAGTACGCCGCCCGAAACTACTGTCCCATAAAGCATTGCAGCCAACATAATACGCCGCATCTCAATGTATATATAGTGCTCCATCTACTGGGAAACGCCGGAAATGCAGGAAAAATAAAACATCAAGGTTTATTATTGTAATTTATTCAAGTTCGGCGGGCTGGGTTAAAAGGTTTAAAGGGCCACTATATGGCCCCTGGTGTAGAGTCTCAAATATGGTCACAGACCAGGTTTGATCTTTTTGGCCCCTTCTTTGGAGCCTCGGTTCTCCACGTGGACACAGTTAGATGTGGATCACATTTTTACTAGAGAAATGTTGGCAGATTCTAATTAGTTTAAAGTAATAAAAACAACTACTATTAACTTCCTTCATTTCAAACGGAATTTTTGAAAATGAGTCTCACAGGAGTTTAGGTATTTTTCCATCTGCCATCGCAAAGGTTTTTTAGGAATTTTTTCAGCCAAATCTGAGACGTCTCAAAGGGGAGGGCGGCTGATTTCATTTGGGCGAACTTTGTAATGAAAATGTAAAACGATAAAATCAAATATTAAATCCAAACTGTTTCTACAGCAAATCCAACAAACACAAGTCGATGTTTAACTGAACAAACAGACAATAAAACCAAAACACTTTGAAATGTGACGTGTTCCTCCACTTTTGCATCAGAAGCTTAAATCGACGAGTTTAAAGTGTAACGGAGCTCGCGGCTCGAGCACAAACACGCCTCTGTTCTGTTTTCAACCTTAAACCTTTGACATGAATCTTATGATTTCTCTCCATTTCTACGATTGTGAGACTCACCTGGACGTGTGTGGATGTTCCTCTCTGCTCATCGCCTCTGGAGCTCCCTGACACACACTAACACACACACTGACACACACTGACACACACACACAGACAACCCCCCACACACACACACACACACACACACACACAGACCCACACATCAGGAGGCGGCTCAGACCTGTCACTCCTGTTTCACACAGATCTGTGTCGTCTGAAGCGACAGCGGTCAGCAGGTGTGTCCTTGAGGTCGAGACATGAGTTACCGAGCTGCACAACACGCCAATTAAAGACAATTATCTCTTTACACTTTAACCCTCATCAGTACACGTGCCAAAACTGACTAATCTGTACACCTGGGGTCCACACGGTCCCCAACATCATATTATATATTTCACATAAGTGTGCAGGTAACAGTTGTCTCCAAATGAGGTTTTTGACAAGTGTGACAACCTCAGATAAAATTTATTTGGTATAACTTGCTTTAATTCAATGAAAAAATAAATAATAACCTTATGTTTTTTTTTCTCTTTTTTTCAAATTTTTGTCACTTTTGGTGCAAAATCATGTGTAAGCTGAGGTTTGTTATGTTCTGTTGCATCATTGATGCTAACAAAGAACAGACATCATAGGTGTTCCTTTTGGTATAGGGTATACAGAACCATTTTGGCAAAATGAGCCTCTTTGATACTGGGGTCCATGTGGACCCCACAATAACAAAAAATATGTTTGAAGAAAATGTGGGTGTCTCATAAAAAACTAAAGGTGTGTGATCACAATAGATTGTCATATTGGCAAGAAAATGAACACGGGGCCTTCACAAATGCAATATTTACACTCCACTGCATGCTTCTAGGCACTCATCACACAGAATACTGGGAGTACAATTTATTGTCAATGCAAGTGTAAGTCTTTCTTAACTTAAATGAAACAATATGCAACTCTGGTATCTGTCAGAGGAATATCAAAAACAAATAATAACCAGACGTTAGACACCTGGTTCGGCTGGGGTCCACGTGGACCCCAAATGAATGCTTTTTATACACACCACATAAATAATGGTAAAGAAATGAGCTCTTGGGCATGTGATAGCAACAAGTTGGGTGACAACTACCTAAATGGACCAAGAAAAAGACACAACACAATCAGAAATATGGCAATGTTTTTACACCTTACTGATTAGGGTTAAAACCCTTGTGCTCCCCTTTAAAAAGACTTACACCTGGACTTCCAACAGCGTAAAACCACTGCTCCTGGTTTTGCAGTTTAAAAGTCCCTAAAACTCGAAATAAAACTCGATTTTTGAACTGGTATTAATTGCCTCAGTAAGAAGGGGCAACGTTGAAAGATGAGCACGGCAAGCTGAAGACCAAGAAACCGGTCAAAATAAACACCGACAAAACTGAAGCTGGCAAATATGGCGTTTTGGCTAACGCGGAGGCTAGCAGTCGAGAAGAAGCGGCCAGTGACGACAACATTGACCTGAGAATGATATTAAATTAAATTAAAGACTTCAGAAAGGACCATGCTCAGCGATTCAAAGACGTGAAGGAACAGATAAAGATGACTAACGTAAATCTGTACAAACTTGAGAGCCGTGTTTTTTTTTTTTCCGTTCTAGTCCTTGTTTAGTCCCTGTCTAGTCCAGGTTTAGTCCCGGTCTAGTCCAGGTTTAGTCCTGGTCTAGTCCTGGTTCAGTCCTGGTCCGGTCCTGGTGCAGTCCTCGCGATCGGCTCAGTGATTGTGGCGTATATATTTATTCTCCGCTCATGTTTGTGGTTCTCGCTCTGGTTCTCGGGTCTTTCTTCCTGATAATTGCGTCGCTGCGTCACTGGATACTCGTCCCTGATTGGTTAGACTTTACATTGAAATTGGACGCTTTGACGCTTTGGTGTGAATGGCCCCTTACAGGGTTATTTCTTTAAAACCCCACTAAAGGAAGTCCAACTTCTATTGTTTAATATCTGTGTGACTGTTACTTTGTTAGCTGTGTTTCAAGGCAGTAATGTTTGGGCAGGTGATAATGTTATTACAGCTGTGATAAAACAATTTACCCATTCAAACGGTAGATTGTAACCAGACTTTAAATATCCTCTCCTGGAATGTAAATTAAATTGTTAACCCACAAAAGAGGTCCAAGATTTTGTCTAAAATTTAAAAAAAAAAGAAGAGGTACAGGCCCTTCTGCAGGAGACGCACTTGTCAGACCAGGAACATAAACAATTTAAACGAGGTTCTAATAAGTATGTATACACATCATCAGGACACCAATTCTGATAACACATCAGACTTGTTTTGAATATATATCAGATAAAAAAGATAAAGAAGGCCGTTTCATATTGGTAAAAGGGAAAATTGAGGGCTTTCCAGTGACAATTGTCAATATTTACATACCACCAGGAAGCGACTGGGTTTTTTATAAACAACTATTTGAGCTGATGGTGTCTGAAACAGTTGGAATGTTAATATGTGGTAGGGACATGAATGAATGGATAACTCCAAGACTGACACAACACAACCAAATTCATTAATATGGTAAATAAATAGTATTATGGATGAATCTGAAATTATTGATACCAGAACCAGACCTCAGACCAGGACCAGACCTCAGACCAGGACCAGACTCAGACCAGGACCAGACTCTGACCAGGACCAGACTCTGAGCTTCTGACATCTAATGGGATCAGACCTTGTCAAACTGGTCTGTCCACATACCAACTTGTATCTGTGTGAAACAGGAGCGACACGTCTGAGCCGCCTCCTGATGCGAAGCTCTGGACGTGTGAAGGCCTCAGTGTGTATCATTGTGTGTCAGTGTGTGTGTTAGTGTGTGTGTCAGGGAGCTCCAGAGACGATGAGCAGAGAGGAACATCCACACACGTCCAGGTGAGTCTCACAGTCTTAGAAATGTAGAGAAATCATAAGATTCATGTCAAAGGTTTTATTGTCTGTTTGTTCAGTTAAACATCGACTTGTGTTTGTTGGATTTGCTGTAGAAAACCTCTGTTAGACGATTGAACAGTTTGGATTTAATATTTGATTTTATCGTTTTCAATTTTCATTACAAAGTTCGTCCAGATGAAATCAGCCGTCCATCCCCTTTGAGTCATTTCAGATTTGGCTGAAAAAAATTCCTAAAAAACCTTTGCGAGCAGATGGAAAATACCTAAACTCCTCCAAAAATGACCCGTTGAGACTCATTTTCTAAAAATTCCGTTTGAAATGAAGGAAGTTAATAGTAGTTGTTTTGTTATTACTTTAAACTAATCAGAATCTGCCAAAGTTTCTCTGGTAAAAATTTGATCCACATCTAACTGTGTCCACATGGAGAACGGAGGCTCTAAAGAAGGGGCCAAAAAGATCAAACCTGGTCTGTGACCATATTTGAGACTCTACACCATCCACATGAAAGTTCAGAAAAGTGTGATTTGTGTCAGAAATGGTCATTCTCTCAAATATTCAGGTTCAGTTAGTTTGTAAAGATCTGCTTGGAGTAAATTGATCTTGGACCTCAAAAATTGAAAAAACAAAAAACAAAAACAAAAACTGAGTGGTAACCAAATGTGAGATTTTGGGCCCACAGCCACATCCTTAATAAAGACACACAATATTTGACAACAGATTCAGAATCTATGACCAAGAATCTAAAATAATACAAATGTACAAATGTTCCGAGCTCGATTTTTATGAAGTTCTGGTCTCTCAAACATGATTATGAATGAAGGTTTCTGAAAAAGTGGCCATGGCCCCAAAATCTCAACAGGCCAAAACTCAGGAAGGATTGAGCTAAAACTTTAGATTCTTTCATTTGATAATTTTAGATTTTTTAGTTAGTTTTTTTTTTTTTTTTTTCCAGCCAAATCTGAGATGCTCATGGGGAGATTCCTTAAACAGCTGATTTCTTTTGGACAAACCCAACATAGTTTTGTGTTTTGTTTCCATGTGTAGAAAACGTTGTGACTTTATTTTTAAAAAACACTGTATATATAAAATATCAGTATTTTATAAGAGGAAATTCACGGAGTGGCTGTGATATTAGTGTTAATTATTTTCTGTTTAACTCTATTGAATGGAAAGATGTGAGTGTTTCTCTCGTTTCTTTCTCTTCTCTAGTCGACTTTTATTTGACAGAAGATGTGAACAGAACAACAGAAGTAAAAGTCTTTCATTCATAAGTAACTTGTTCACTCAGACTGATTCTAGAATGAAATGTTTTCATTTTAATTCTCGCGTCAGAGTTTTGTGAGCGTGTGGAGTCTTTCTGCACGAGCAGCTCTCGTTTGGCTCCAGGTCGTCACACACAAGTTGCTCTCAGACAGAAAACCTTTGACGCGCTGGACTTACATTTCTACTAATGTTTTTAAAATTGACCCAGTTTGGTTTGATCACTTGAAAACTACCACTTGATGACATCACAAGGTGGAGCAGAGCGTCTGGAGCTTTTAAAAATAAAGAATTACTCAAACATGTGAACAAAACAAACACACTCCAGGTCCCTCAGGTCGGGTTCTGTTTGAGGTCAGAGGTCACAGTGTCGTGTCGTCCCTCAGGTCGGGCTCTGGTCCGTTTGATGCTCTGCTCAGAGACGAGGCTCTGCTGCACCCCCTGCTGGACTTTGCTCGAGACGCCGCCTGTTTACGAGGAATTCTGCTGAAACCTCCAGACGCCGCCAAACCTGCACACGTGAGCTCCTGTCTGCTCCTGTCTGCACCTGTCTGCTCCTGTCTTCTCCTGTCTGCTCCTGTCTTCTCCTGTCTGCTCCTGTCTGCTCCTGTCTGCTCCTGTCTGCTCCTGTCTTCTCCTGTCTGCTCCTGTCTTCTCCTGTCTGCTCCTGTCTGCTCCTTTGACCCGCTCCTGTCTCGGCAGGTGACCCACATGCCCTTCACCCTGGTGCCCACCCCGGTGTCCAGGGCTTTGTACCTTCAGGCGCTGCAGGTCCAGACGTTCTTCAACACGTTGGTGGATCGGGTCAGTCAGGACCAGGAGTTCCTGGAGGAGGCTCTGTCCAGGTAACACCTCACACCCTGTCACGTCTGCTCCTGTCTGCTCCTGCCTGCTCCTGTCTATTGTGCAATCAAGGCAAAACTGGAACATCTCCATGGAGACCAGCAGGTGGTGCACCCTCCACCAGAAAAGTGACACAGTGCAGCTTTAAACAGACCCATGTGTTGTTATGGACAAATCCAGGACTTTGAGAAACATCAAACATCAGGCCGTCGCTATAGCAACAAACTATTTAAATACTACTAATGACTCATTTCACAGTTCACCCCAGACTTCCTTCACCCCAGACACTTCCTCCAGCTCCTCCTGTGGGACCCTGAGGTGTTCCCAGTCCAGTCCAGAGACATCGTCCCTCCATTGTGTCCTGGGTCTCCCCCAGGGCCTCCTCCCGGTGGGACATGAACACCTCCTGAGGGAGACACCCAGGAGGCATCAGAACAGATGCCCTCCTCTACACGTGGAGGAGCAGCGGCTCTACTCCGAGTTCCTCCTGTGTGACCAAGCTCCTCCATGTTCCCCCCGAACTGCACTTGGCCGGTCTGCACCTGTCTGCTGCCTCAGGAGTCCCACGAGCCGGCAGGGGCATAATACTCTGTGAAACACAGCTCCTCAGATCATTCGGGTTCCCAAAGTCCCACCACAGTAAAGTGTCAGTTCAGGAGGAGTTCACATACACAATAGTTGTGATCAGACTCACACAAATAAAAGAGGCCAGAAAAAGTCCTTCCTTGGGCCTAAACTGTCTCTGTGTTTGGGACTTTTCCTCTGATGACATCAGCAGAGGGATCCTGGTTTTCACTCACACACACTTCCTGTTTCTTGTTTCAGCACCGTAGAAGTGGACGACTTCACCGCACGACTGTTCCACATCTACAAACAGATCCAGAGAGAAGGACGAGCCCCGGTGAGACTCTCTGCTCCTCTGCTTGTCTGGTTCTACTCGTCTGGTTCTGCTCCTCTGGTTCTGCTCGTCTCTGACCTTCTCGTCTTGTTTCCTCAGTCCATTGTCTTGGGTCTGACTCGTTGTGACTACATGTTAGATCGGGGCTCGTCTCTGAAGCAGGTGGAGATCAACACGTTTGCTGCGGGGATGGGAGAATTTACTGAACCTCTGGTGGAAGTTTACAGGTCAGAACCTCACACTGTTTATCTACAGGGACAGAAACTTCTCTAAGCTTCTGTGAGGGACTCTTGGTCTACTTCTTTTTTTTGCAGAGATGTTCTGAGATTCGCCGGACGCCCAAAGCAGAGTGAGCAGCTTCAACACGAGCTCCCTTCCACTGGACACGCCGCCGCCGCCGCCGTCGCCAAGGCCTGGGAGCTCTACGGGTCACACAGGTGTGAACGGACCTAAGGCTCAAGGGACAAAAGCTTCTGTGACAACCTGAAAAGAGCTGAACATTTGTGTTTCTTGCAGCTTCAGATCTGATTTAATTTGGCTCATTTTGTGTCGGTTTGAAAACTCCACATTTTGGGACTTATTTTGTGTTTTGTCCAAATTATAAATCAGATGTAATTTGTTGTAACATTATTCTGAACTTCCTCTTGCTCAAGATGTTCTTGTTCTTATTCTTGTTCTTGTGGTGGTGTCTCTCAGAGCTGTGGTGCTGCTGGTCGTCTTACCCTCTGACTTCTACCGATTTGGCCAACGCTGCCTGGAGGTGGAGCTGCCGAAATGGTAAAGACACTTTCACCTGTCAGCCCTTTTCACCTGTTGCCCCTTTTCACCTGATGCACCTTCTCACCTGTCATGCCCATAGACGCTCCATTTACCCTGTTTGGCCCCACCCCCTTTAGTCTCTAAAACCTCTGAACAGCACCCTCTTGTGGTGGCTCCTCAGGTGAATCAGGTGAATCTCACCTGTCTCTCACCTGTCTCTGCTGTCTCACCTGTCTCTCACCTGTCACCCCCGTTGTGCTCAGGAACATCTCGGTGATGCGTCGTTCTCTGGACGAGGTCTCTGCCTCGGTGTTCCTGGACAAAGATGACAGACTGTTTGTGTGAGTCACATTTTAAGACACTGTGGAACATTTCCTTCAGGTTTCCACGGAGACAGAAAGTTAAAAACAGACTTTGACGAGACGACAGAGACGATCCTGACGGTTCTGAATCTGTTTGTTTGTTTTCAGAGAAGGACGAGAGATCGCAGTGGTTTATTTCCGTTACGGCTACGCCCCCGAGCACTACACCGAACAGGTAACACCTGTCAGAGACCACATCATAGCCTCACCTGTCAGAGCCTCACCTGTCAGAGGACCACATCATAGCCTCACCTGTCAGAGCCTCACCTGTCAGAGGACCACATCATAGCCTCACCTGTCAGAGCCTCACCTGTCAGAGACCACATCATAGCCTCACCTGTCAGAGCCTCACCTGTCAGAGGACCACATCATAGCCTCACCTGTCAGAGCCTCACCTGTCAGAGGACCACGTCATAGCCTCACCTGTCAGAGCCTCACCTGTCAGAGGACCACATCATAGCCTCACCTGTCAGAGCCTCACCTGTCAGAGACCACATCATAGCCTCACCTGTCAGAGCCTCACCTGTCAGAGGACCACATCATAGCCTCACCTGTCAGAGCCTCACCTGTCAGAGGACCACGTCATAGCCTCACCTGTCATAGCCTCACCTGTCAGAGGACGACATCATTAGGGTGACCAAACGTCTGTTTTCCCCAGGACATGTTCATATTTTGCGTCTTGTCCTGGGCGTCCGGGTTTTTTTTTTTTAAGTGATGGAAATGTCCGGGTTTTCATTACCGTTCATTGGGGGCATTAAATTGAGTGTCTCTCGTAGCCTTTGTGACTCAGAAGTCACAGAGTGTAAAAAACAAAACAAAAACAAAAAAACCTCCCACCCCGGGTAAGGTTTTCACAAATGGAAATATGGTCACCCTAGACATCATAGCCTCACCTGTCAGAGGACAATGTCCTCTGAAATCTCTAAATTAGTAATTTATCCTGGTTTAGTTCTGGTTTAGTCCTGGTTTAGTTCTGGTTTAGTTCTGGTTTAGTCCTGGTTTAGTTTTTCTGTTTTTTAGAAATCTCCAAACTTCTGCTCCATAAATGTTTCTCGTCACATTAATTAGGGCTCAACTCAACTCTCCATATTCTGTCCATTTAATCCAATTTACAGACACATCACTCATGTGTCCTCAGCTGTGGGACGTGTGTCCTCATATCCTCATGTGTTCTCAGCTGTGGGACATGTGTCCTCATGTGTCCTCAGCTGTGGGACGTGTGTCCTCATATCCTCATGTGTTCTCAGCTGTGGGACATGTGTCCTCATGTGTCCTCAGTTGTGGGACGTGTGTCCTCATATCCTCATGTGTGCTCAGCTGTGGGACATGTGTCCTCATGTGTCCTCAGCTGTGGGACGTGTGTCCTCATATCCTCATGTGTTCTCAGCTGTGGGACATGTGTCCTCATGTGTTCTCAGCTGTGGGACATGTGTCCTCATGTGTCCTCAGTTGTGGGACGTGTGTCCTCATATCCTCATGTGTCCTCAGCTGTGGGACGTGCGTCTCCTGCTGGAGCAGTCTCGTGCGGTGAAGTGTCCAGACGTGGGGACACATTTGGCCGGGACAAAGAAGGTGCAGCAGGTTCTGAGCGAGGCCGGAGTCCTGGAGAGGTTCTTCCCACAGCACCAACGTGTGGTGGAGCAGATCAGAGCCACGTTCACCGGACTCTACTCCCTCGACCCGGTACACACATAGAACACCATACACACAGAACACCATACACACGTATAAAACTATACACACACACACACACACACAACCCCATACACACAGAGAACACCATACACACACAACACCATACACACGTATAACACCATACACACGCATAACACCATACACACGCATAACACCATACACACGTATAACACCATACATACATATAATGTGTAGTTTGTGTGTAGTGTGTGTGTAGTGTGTGTAGTGTGTGTGTAGTGTGTGTGTAGTGTGTGTGTGTGTGTGTGTAGTGTGTGTGTAGTGTGTGTAGTGTGTGTGTAGTGTGTGTGTAGTGTGTGTGTAGTGTGTGTGTGTGTAGTGTGTGTGTAGTGTGTGTGTAGTGTGTGTGTAGTGTGTGTGTAGTGTGTGTAGTGTGTGTGTAGTGTGTGTGTGTGTAGTGTGTGTGTAGTTTGTGTGTAGCGTGTGTAGTGTGTGTGTAGTTGTGCGTTTGCTCCTCATGCAGGTTTCTCTTTCCTGTCTCAGGGTGCAGAGGGAGATCGGGTCATGGATTTGGCTTTAGCAGCTCCAGAAAGATTTGTCCTGAAACCTCAGAGAGAAGGAGGAGGTGACACACACACACTATACACACACAAAACACAAAACACACAAACACACAAACACACATTACACACACAAACACACACTATACACACACAAACACACACTATACACACACTATACACACACTATACACACACACATACACACTATACACACACACTATACACACAAACACACACTATACACACACACACTATATACACACACATACACACAAACACACACTATACACACACACACACTATACACACAACACACACACTATACACACTATACACACATACACACACACACACATATACACACAAACACACACTATACACACTATACACACACACACACACTATACACACTATACACACACAAACACACACTATACACACACACATACTATACACACTATACACACAAACACACACTATACACATGATACACACAAACACACACTATAAACACACACTATACACACACAAAACACACAAACACACATTACACACACAAACACACACTATACACACAAACACACACTATACACACTATACACACAAACACACACTATACACACGATACACACAAACACACACTATAAACACACACTATACACACAAACACACACTATACACACTATACACACAAACACACACTATACACACAAACACACACTATGCACACTATACACACACACACACTATACACACACTATACACACAAACACACACTATACACACACACACTATACACACTATACACACAAACACACACTATACACATGATACACACACACACACACTATATACACACACACACTATACACATTATACACACAAACACACACTATACACACACACACAATACACACTATACACACACACACAATACACACTATACACACACACACACACACACACACACACACACTATACACACAAACACACACTATACACACTATACACACACATACGTACACATACTAAACACACTAGACACACTATACACACTATACACACACACACTATACACACTATACACACACACTAGACACTCTATACACACACTATACACACACTATACACACTACACACACTACACACACTATACACACAAACACTGTATACACAATATACACATACTATATACACACACAATACACACACACACACACTATACACACACTATACACACTACACGCACACACAATAAACACTATAGACACTATACACTAGGGATGGGCATTCAGTGAAATTTTCTTAATCGATCGTCGGAAGAATTAACGATCGATTATCGATTAATCATTAAAGTTTTTATATTAAAATGATCATCATTATTATTATTACTATCTGCACTTCTAATCTGCATACATAAATTCAACTTTACGACATATAAACCGTAAACACTCTAGAGCCACATCAGCCCGTTTGACATTATAATGTGTTTAATTCAGTTTTGCGCAACTCTCACAGAAATGAAACTTAAAACCACATGGCTCATTTGCATAAACTAAGCGAAGATAAAACTACAGCTCTTGTGTGGCTGATGTAGTTCAACTTCTGTCGGATTAAAGGACATGACTCAGTGGAATACAGGTTAGTGTGACCAGATTTGAGTTTGTCAAAACCAGGACACCGTACGGGAGGTGGGAGGTTGGGACTCGTCATCGATATTGCGCGACTCTCACCTGGCAAAACTTTTTCTCACTGGACACAGAAACATATGTGCTGCTTTATACACTGTGCACATGGACTCACACTTGTCCCGAACGCAACGTAAAGTGTGGAATTTCTTGTACAAGTCATCGTTAAATATGCATTTTTGCTTCGGTATGTTGCAGACTGACCAACTGTCTGTGTCTGCTTGCTCCTTCTGAGTGCAGAGACACATGTACAGACCTGTTTGGTCACACTACACACAGCAACATACATTCGGTTTGTTGATTAAAATGAACGTAATCGATGAAATTCTTAATGATCAATTATCGATTAATCAACCAATCATGCCCATCCCTACTATACACACAAACACACTACACACACACACACACACACACTATACACAGTATATGCGTCCTTCCTCATTTACGGCTTTGACTTTTAACCTTTGCCTTCCACAGGAAACAACTTCTTTGGGTCAGATATCCGTCGTGTTCTGAGCGCGGCCGGAGGAAAAGACCGGAGGGCTTTTATTCTCATGGACAAGATCCAGGCCACGTCCACCCCCAACATCCTGGTGTCAGGAGAGCACCCCCCTGTGGTCACGGAGTGCACGTGCGAGCTGGGCGTGGCAGGAGCCTACGTCAGGTACGACCCAAGCAAAAGGTTTAACTCCTGCTCCTCATAAACACATCACACTTTCACTTTCTGTGTGTGTGTGTCTATGTGTGTCACTGTGTGTGTCTGTCTGTGTGTGTGTGTGTGGGGGGGGTGTCTGTGTGTGGGGTGTTTGTGTGTCTGTGTGTTGTGTGGGTGTGTTGTGTGTGTGTGTGTGTGGGGGGTGTTGTGTGTGTCTGTGTGTTGTGTGTGTTGTGTGTGTCTGTGTGTGTGTTTGTGTCTGTGTGGGGGGTGTTTGTGTGTCTGTGT